TTCTCAACAAGTTCCTCACCTCTACTGTGGCTTATCCCGTCCTCTGACTCTACCAAATGGTCTTCCCCTCAGTGTGGGGCCACCGAGCACTGTCTCTATGGGAAGGCACAAACCGAGGAGCTGGTCCCAGCTTTGTCCTTAACTTGCTGTTCGGCCTTGACCAAATTACTTTACCTCTCTAGGGCTTGGTGTCCTCAGCTGTAAGATGAAGGGGCTGAACTTCGAGGTGGATTTTTGTATGATTTGAGACTGAAAAACATCCTAAGAAATAAACAGCAATATTGTGGATTCCTCCATCAGAAAAGCAGCTCTTGAGGGCTGCCTAGTCTCATGAGACCCAGTACAGTACCTTGTACACACTTGAAGTTCCGTAAATATTTGTTAGATAAGAGGTGATTGTCTTTGTTTGTATTTATAATCGAAGCATTAAAAAAATAAAGCACTTTCTTCTTGTTGTCTTAAAAAAAAAAAAAAAAGGCCCCCACATGCTGTCTTCTAGCTTGAAATTATATTTACGGATAATTGTTCCTACCTCGCCCATGTCCCTCCCCTTTTAGCCCCGCCTGCTGTGATCTACCCCCTGCACCATTTTGACTTTAGGAGCAGCCCGTGACTGCCTTGTGTCCAGGCTTCCATATTAGGGTGTTAAAAGAAACCACAGGCCCAAAATGGAGTCACTTGTGCTAAACCCACATCACCAGACCAAGGCTTAATATCTAACCTAATTACAGTTTCAACCTTCTCCAGGAACGTAGTCTCAACTGGTCAGTCTGGAATTTTCTGGTCAGCACCAATGAGGTAATCTGCCACATAGTCCCTTTTCTCCCCCCAGAGAAAGATGATGTAATCCACTCTTTCCTTGTCTCTTGTCTCTGCCCCCTTCGGCCTGTACAAGCTTCCCATTTTGTAAAGGTCCTGGGAGCTCCCCCCTTCTTGCTGGATGAGATGCTGCCTGATTCATGAATCATTCAACAAAGCCAATGAGATCTTCACAATTTACCATCGGTTTGCAGGGCTCTACCCCATCTCATAGCACTGGAGTGGCTCTGACTTCATGCAGACTGCATTTTGATCATTTGCAAAGGGGAAGGACCAACTGAGCTTGCATGGGATGGAGGCTGCTGGTGGCTTGGAAGTCCCCTCTCAGCCCCTCCTGGCCCTGGCCAGACTCCCCACCCCCACCCCAATCCGGGCCCGTGTCCCCCTCTGAAGGGAGCCCACTTCTGGGGACTGCCGGGCGGGGACAGGTGGGTCCCTACACTAGACCTTCACGTTCTGTAAGACAGTCACCAGCTTAGGAGAAAGGTGAAGTAGTTAAAATAAACAAACAGGGGCCCGGAACTCCAGCAGCGCAGTGGGTCTGGCGCTGGCATGGGAGGACTGAACAGGATTTTCCTGCTCTGGGCGACCTTCCCTGGGCAGTTCAAGGCAGCTCCACAGGGACCTCTAACCACTGTCGTGTCAAACTGCGGTCCCCGGGGTCTTCTGGCTCCAAGCCTGCTGGGCCTGACCTCTCACCAGGTTTCACCACAGGACCCCAGAGCTTCCCACCGCCCCTACGTTTGGACATGGCACACACCCAGCACAGGGGGAGGGAGGGTCTCCCCCAATGCCCAGTGGAGACCAGTGACTGACGCATGACAGGTGTGACCTTCTTGCAGGGTTATTACCAAGAAAATGGCTAGTTCTTTGCTCCTCCACAGTGTGACCAGCTCATCCATGTAATGTGTGGCCTCAGGCTCTCCCACACCATGACGGAGATTGACTAATGCCAGTGGTCCCCACCCAGCCTACCATCACCAGACTTACAGAGGGGACCTCTAGCAGAGCACTTGCCTAAGGCCACTGGGCTAAGTGCTTGAGCTGGGATCCGAGCTTACATAGCCCTTTGGCTTCAGAGCTTATACCCTACCCTGTGCTTGACGTTGCCTACCCCAAGAGATCTGGACTTTTCTTACATGTGACCTTTGCCATTTCTTCTTTCTTTTCTTTTTTTTTTTAAGATATATTTATTTGAGAGAGAGAGAGAGCATGTGGGGTGAGGGGAAGGGTAAAGGGAGAGGTAAAGAGAGTCTCAAGCAGATTCTGTGCTGAACACAGAATCCAACACAGGTCGATGTCACGACTCTGAGATCACAACCTGAGCTGAAACCAAGAGTCGAACGCTTAACCGACTGTGCCATTTCTCTACCACACACCTTTAATACAAGTGGCAAGACAATGCTTCAAAGGACCCCTATGTCCCAGCGGCTGAGGGGTCACTGGATTCTTTTTTTTTTTTTTTTTTTTTGAGAGAGAGAGCACATGAGAGGGGGGAGGGTCAGAGGGAGAAGCAGACTCCCTGCTGAGCAGGGAGCCCGATGTGGGACTCGATCCTGGGACTCCAGGATCATGACCTGAGCCAAAGGCAGTTGCTTAACCAACTGAGCCACCCAGGCGCCCAGGGTCACTGGATTCTTAGAGCTAGATTAAAGGACCCAGTCTGACATGTGACAGTATGAACGCCCCCACACTAACCATCTGGGGACTCCCAATTCCCTCCCTGAAGGAAGGAAAATAATGTGTGTCCCATCTACCTCTTGGGCTTGTTGCGAGGATGAGATAAATCACGGTGTATGAACTTACTTTGTAAAATTAAGTCCTATGACAATCATAACTTTTATTTTTGAGAAAACTCAACCTATGGGTAGCCAATTGATATTTGAAGCAAAGGAAAGAAAAGCAGCTAGTATTTGAGTTTTTTAAATGTCCAATGTTACCAGTGACCTAAGAGTTGTCAGTTAAAATAAAACAATTCTATTTTTACCTGTTAAATTCAGCACCCTGGGCGTGAACTATCCTATGCTATTTGCAGGACTAATTGACAAAAACTCTTAGGAGCCATTCGGAACAAGTACTGACAGCTTTTGGCTCGCTAACTCCACTGCTGGGAATTGAAGGAAATAACCAGAGATATGGAATATGCTCTATGCATAAAGAGCTTTCTCTTAGAGCAAGGAGGAACTGGAAGTCACTTAAATGTACAAAAACTGGAGAGAGTGAAAACAGCACTTAGCTTTTGTCTGTCCCGTGTTCCTTTAGTTAGCCTAACTTTTCCTTTTCTTTCAGAAGCCCTGCTTCAGAGTTCTCCCAGCTCCTGTGGTTCCGAGGGGCGCGGAGCTGAACCCCCAGCCGCAGGGAAGGATACGTGACCCAGCTCAGCCAATGAGGGCGGCCCGTTCCCGGACACAGCGATTATTCCGGAATGGCCCTCTCGCCGGGAAAGATAGGCCCGCTTTGCTGTAAAGATTAAATTGGCTGCAATTAAAACCAACACGGTGGGAAAAGGAGCCAGGAGATGAAGACAGCGCTAAAGGAATATTTTAAGATCAATGAACTCCTCTTTTTGCTTAAACTACTTTGACGGGGCTTCCTGTCACTAACAACTGAGCACTAATACAGACCATTATTGCGGAGCCGGAGGAGACGGATCTGATGAAATATTCTGCAGCCAGTCTAAGTCATCCTCAAGAGTGGTTTCTGGGAACATAACAAGCCTACGATTAAGTGAAAGAAGTGTGATACACGATCCATATACAGCCTGATCTTGATTCGACTGAAAAATTTCATGGACGCAAAAATTGGAAGCCAACACATCAAAATATTAGCAGCCATGCTGACTGGTGAGATTATGGATTGTTAAACTTTAAAAAATTGTCCATACAGATACATATCTTACAATAAATACTAAGGAAAAAACTAAGAAAAAGATAAAAGTTTTGTTGGTTGACTTATACCTCCTTTGATTCCAAAAGGACTTAAGCTATAATGGTCTTCTCAGATGAATATTTTAGAGCTTTTGGCTCTGACGTGACAGTTTGGAATTCCTCTAAAAAATATGGACCTACCAGCTTTGCACAACAGTAGAATGCTAATTTTTTTCATTACTAAAACTGAAAACATGCCCCATGATAGGAAAGCAGGCTCTGCTCTTCCATTACTTTGTGACCTTCAGTCTGAATATCACTAAGAAGGGAAATGTGACATTAACAACCTCAGGTCCGGTTATTTATGCATTGATTTCATTGAACCCTGCCTCATTTCACAAAGGATTTTTCTCCACCCACTCCATGCCTCCAAGGAATCTGAACTTGAACTAGAAGACAGAATAAAAACGCTAATTATTGGCAATGGCCTGGTAAAGACAAACAGCCTTGACCTGCTAAGCACAGACCCAAAGCCAATAAAATATCCGCCAACACAGTCATCTGGGCTCAGTAGTTTCAGGCTCTCCCTTTCTATTTTTCATTCTCTTTTCTTGATCAGGGCCTGCCTTGTTCTCTGTGCCAAAGCCAGACACTCATCCCCCATCTGGGAAAGGCTAGGGCTCTGTCGGTCTTTTGCCACAGGTGGGGTACAAGTGGCCCTGAAGGAAACGACATGGAGGAAGCGGTAAATCCGGGGAAGACTAGCAGCAGCAGCATGAGACCGGGCCTCTGGATTTCCTCTTGGCCCTCCTGGGCTGCCTTTACCCAGTGTCATCTCATCAAGGCCATCCACCGCTAACCTGGCCCACCGTGTCATTCTTAGGGACTTGAGCAGCCCCGAGGACGAGACACCAGCATCTCCATAAAAAGTGGTCTACGGCGCTCTCTGGTGGCCAGTCAGAACATAACAGAGGCATAATCTCATTGAACTGCGAACAAATCCCCAGCACTTGCTATGAAAAAGTAGCTGACTTTCCAAATGATAACTGGATCCTACCTGAATATAGATATGTTTTGATATGGTATCAAATGATGAAGATAAAACTCACAATCAGTGAGTAAAGGGAGAAAAACAGATACACACCCTCAATCTCATTTTTTCACAAGGTACCTCGGCACCCGGGGCCCTAAAGGAAGCCAGCCAGTGGTTGATGTAACAGCATGCTAAAATAAAAATGCAAAAGGGTTTTGACAGCGGGCAATGAAAGTGTAATAAATATTAACATCTATGTTTAAGAAAATAAATCCAACACATTTCATGAAAATAATGCTTTTAATTATTTTGAGTGAAAAACCTATTTTACCAAATTCAATATAAATCGTGTTTCTTAGACAGCAGCTGTTTGCTGGATTTTAGGTAAGTTAATTTTGTAATTTTAAAACATAACAACTCATATTCATCTTCCTTTCTTAGCCATTTAAGGATTCGGCAGCTTGGTTCCTGACACCCCTCTTCACGAGGGATCTTCCACCATCTTCTGAAATCGTGTATATAGATAATAAAACCAAACTTTTCTTCTTTTCCGAAGAAATGTGATTTTTTTAAAATGTTACCTTCTCCCTCATGACCCGAATTAGGTAGTAACAGCACGGGAGCCATTTAAAGACTTAGAGTAGCTGAGGCCACTGCTGAGAGCAGCATTATTTAGAAAGCTACAGAGAGCGGCTGGGGGCAGCGGGTTTGGGGCCGGGCTTATGCTGGTCTATGTCCGGTAAACTTTACTTACGAAAGAACACCAGAAACGACTTACACAAAATTCCCTGCATCCTTTTTTGTTTCGCAAGCCCATTTGGGGGCAAAACATAAAATAAAATAATGTGTACATGTATGTCGCTGTGTGTTTTGAGTGCAGGACACAGATTATACAGCGTTCTGTCCACTTTGACGGGGAAATCAAATTCAGGAAAGGTTTATGAACTTCTTCTGTTCCAGGTAATCATCACTTTAGATTTGAAAAGTGGAAAAAAAAAAAAAAGTTCTTTATAAGAAATAGTTTTGCCCTACGTTGGATCAACAACTCCCTGGGACCATCAGGCAGGAATGGACCACGAGGAGGACGTGCCATGAGCATCTCACCACGGTCTGGCACAACCACGCATGTGCGGGTGCGCAGGCACATGGGCCAGCCCCGCCGCCGGGCTCGGGCAGCTTGGGCACAGGCGCGGGGGGGACCGAGGCCCTCCCCCAGCATGGTGGCTTCCAGGAGGTAAGGACCCATGTTCTTACATCTAAATCTGGCTCCTCTTCAAGGAGCACCATTGGAAAACTATTTGGAACGGATGGAGCAAAACTTCCTTGATCATAATGAAAGATATCCCTCTATGAAAATGGCTTCAAATTTGGAGGAAAAAAAAAATTCTAGCAACCAAATCTTCCAAGAAATCCAGGAATAGTGCGACTCTATTTTGTAAACAAGCAAGCAAGCAAAGCCAACAAGCCGATCTGGGAAATATTCTACAGAGAGATATTAAGCCCTTCGGGTCTGCATGAGCCATCCTAAGCAGCCTCCAGGGTGGTGTTAAAGATGCCATATTCTGCTTCACCTAGAGAGGGGAAGAGAGAGGAAGAAGAATTATTATTAGTTGACAAATCTTACAAGGTCATCATTCTAGGGAATGATTCAAGCAGCTCCTGATCCAGAAGTTTAGGATTCTGAGTGAATTTCAGCCACTTCAGAGTACTGAAGAATTGCCTGAGTTTGTGCACATTCCTGAATTCTGGTAGCAACAGGTTTAGGGTCCGGCCTTGGAGACTTCATTTTAGCCAGCACCCCTCCCCTGTGAGTATGATGCCCACACGCTCTGGTAGAGGCCTCTGGGACGCAGAGCTGATGACCAGTGCAACTTGTCTGAAACGGACAATAGTCAGATGAGTTCTGAAAGGTCAGCTTTAAGATTGCCTCTCCGGGGCGCCTGGGTGGCTCAGTCGTCAAGCATCTGCCTTCGGCTCGGGTCATAATCCCAGGGTCCTGGGATCGAGCCCCGCATCGGGCTCCCTGCTTCTCCCTCTCCCACTCCCCCTGCTTGTGTTCCTGCTCTCTCTGTGTCTCTCTCTGTCAAATAAATAAATAAAATCTTTAAAAAAAAAAAGATTGCCTCTCCCTAGGATTCTGGTGTCCTGCCTCAGAAGGGGTCACACCCTGGTCTAGACTTTTGTCCTCCTCTCAAAAGGACAGGGAAATGCTCCCTCTTATCTCTGAGCTGCAGAAAAAGGCTCACAAGTCTGCATAATAAAATGGGAACCTCAAATTTATCTATTTTACTCACTTATTCAACATGGAGACTTATAGGCAAGCACATTTTTGTTATTAAAGCAAGCACTGCCCTTGGGCATGTTATTTATACAAAAATAACTGTATTTCAGAGATTGTCACATCCTGTAAAAGTGAACTTTAACCTTGCATCGCGGGCCATCCTCCTGGATAATTCATTGCCAGGTCATAATGCTGTAACTGTTGGCCCCGCATTCCTATAAAGGAAGGTGGCTTTGTCAGTCCAGGAGAGAATCACTGGCCTGAGCCTCTTCTGCTGTGTGCTCAGAAGCAAAAGAAACGCCACGACTGCTGGGTTCCTCGTTCAAACAAAGAAGCTGAGAACCTTTGTCTCAAGCTATCAGCCTGACAAGTAGCCAGTATTTACTAAGCACCTGCTCTGAGCCATGCACTGTCCTAGGCCCTGTTTGGGATTAAACAGACAAATAAATAAATAAATAAGACCTGAGCTTTGCTGTGAAGAACTTGATAATGGTGATGGGACGTCAAGAGTTCAGTGTGGAACTATGTGGAATGAAGAAAGGCTGAGAATATAAGCCCCCAAGTGAGCTACAGTCTACAGGCCTAACTTAGCCTCACCACCCAGATCTCTGCAAAGCGCCATCAGTCGTCACAAGTACAAGTGCCTCACGTGACTGACCCAGGGTTAGGAGCCCGGCCAGCTAGCGGACAGGTCACCCGAGAAACAGGCTATCATCATGGTTAGAAGCAAGGTCCCCACCTTGCTAGAGGGGGGAGACTCTAGACCCAGAGCTAGAATGCCGACGTCTCGATCCCAGCACCAACACGTACTGGCTTCAGACTTCAGGCAAGTTTCTTCCTTTTCTGTGCGTCGGCGTCGGCTCTCCATCTTACAGCCGAAGAGAAACATGCCCTAGCGTCTTGCAGGGAGAATTCAGTGTGTAAGGCAGTCAGCACGGCGCCGAGCCAGCAGCAAACGCTCACCTCCCACTGGAGGTGGCCTGGAGGACGGCAGCTAGGCCACCGACCTTGTCCCCAGGGAAAAGCCCAGACTTCTGTGTTCCTTCATTGGAACCCTGACCTAATTTCAAAGGATCTGATCACACCCTTCTTTCCTGTCCTTTTCCCACCTTCAGGCTATTTTCTTCTTCGTTCTCTCCTGGGTGCCCTCGGGTGTCAACCTCCCCCCACCCCAAGTGTCCACTTGCTGGTGGGTGACCCACACGGCCCCCCAGCACTCACAGCACTGGGGCTGATGGGCACGGGGCCGCGCACGCAGACTCAGATGTGGACCATTCACAGTCCAGAAGCACCCAAGTCTCATTCTCATGGGAAAAGGCCATCACAGGTCAGCCAGGGCCCCAGAGCATCGCCTTAGTTCAAGCCTGTAGACAGAGCTTGGGGGCTTGTGAACTTGGATGGAAAATAGACGTTTTCATTTTCATTAAGCTCTAACTAAAATTTATCATTTCCTTCAATGATGAATGTAGGCAACAAACCCGAGTGGTGAGAGCATATCTGTGACTGTCACCAACAGAAATAAAGAAATCACAGATACTCACATCACGTTAGAGTTGTCACAAATGCCACAAAATGTTCAGTGCTCACTACTCAGAAAGTACAGTAATGTTACAGACTCACTATTAAATCTTATTTAATGTGTTCATTAAAAAGTCAACATATTATTACACCACACATTTAAAAAATATTTTTTATAAATGTATTTCAATAGAGTTGTTTCCGTTGTACTTCGTATGTATTTTATACACCTAAAATATTATTCTGAGGGGAAGTCACAGGCTTTACCAGCTTGCTAAAAGGGTCGGTTCATGGTACATGAAATGGTTAAGACCCTCCCTTGCTTTAAAAGATCGAGGACTGCTAATCAAAGTTGCAGTATTAGAAAGAAGAAAGATGTGTAAATACTTACTGAAATGTGACATTATAATATTCTTCAGGTGTCACTATTTTTGGTCCACCAAAGTAGTCCAGGACCCAGATGTTGGTTATGTTCAACTTGGCAAAGAACCAATTATGGCTGGACGGCCAGGTTTTCATCTCAGGATGCCGGACAAACAGGGAATGCTTGGCAAAACCCGTTTCCGTTTGGTTCACCTGAAGGGCATATGTGACGTAAACGACTCCTAGCAACCACACCCTGTGTTCTCGCCTGCTAAGGACGTGGGGTTCTAGCATTCTACAACTCCTGAAGGGTCTGTTTAGTCACTGATCTTAAACTTAAGGAATCAAGAGGAAACGACGGAAGCATGCAGAAAAGCGGAAAACACCCGAGAATTCAGATGCTGGTGGTACACATATACTGACGTGGGAAACCACCCCGAGTACCGACTTCCATTGCCCGACAGTCATTCCGAGCTATCGGAGTAGCCGGCACAGGGCGCATGATAACATGCTAGGATGCTCATGCCGTGTCACATCGGCACACGTATCCCGTAACAAGCATGTGTTCAACACGGAGATGCAAATCCCCAGAGGATAAAGGTCTCGGGAAAAAGCACAGTGGAACTCAAGAGCATTTGCCGCCCCTCCCCCCTTCTCCTGCTCGTGAAATGCAGCCACAGAGATGCGTCCACACAGAACTTCCAGACCATTAATCAAACTTGTCTGAGCTAATCATGATCGACAAGGTCAAGAAGCACATCTGCTGGCAAGGCCATCAGATCAGTGCTCGGACACCTTGCCCTCTGCCTTGCAGCGTTCACCCCACTGTCTAAATTCACATCTGGCACCCCTCTTTCAGCTTCCGTGGTCTGCTCTCGGCCCTAAGCCACTGTTAAAATATGGAGACAAGGAGCCCACACAGGGGAAACACTGTGCACTGCACAACACGGCCAACGGCAGAGGGCTTCGGTTGAACAGATGTTCCTTACAGAGGAGCTGAGCAGCTGTTGCATCTGTTCAGCTTCAAAAACTCATTCATTTTCGGCATAAATATCAAACACCTATACGAAGTCAACCGATTTAAGCCTTTAGTTTTCATGAAAGTACAGATTAGAATATATTCTCACTCTGTATCTCAATCATAAATCATTTTCATTTTATTCTTAAGGTATCTCTTCTTGGGGCGCCTGGGTGGCTCAGTCAGTAAGCGTCTGCCTTCAGCTCAGGCCATAATCTCAGGGTCCTGGGATCGAGTCCCGCAGCAGGCTCTCTGCTCAGAGGAGAGCCTGCTTCTCCCTCTCCCTCTGCCTGCCGCTCCCCCTGCTTGTGCTCTCTCTCTCCCAAATAAATAAATAAAATCTTAAAAAAAAAAAAAGTTGTCTTTTCTTTCATTGTTAATAGATGATGCTCTTCTAAAGCCCATCTCTGTTCTTGTTAACTACTCACCTTGGTAACAGTTCCCGACAGTATTATGTGAGCACAGAGGGGACTTTGGGGATCAAATCCCTGCTTCCTGCAGAAGTTAGTCTGTGCCAAAGACATGGTCAGCGTAGCATGTGGATTCTCCTGTACAGAGAAAATAAAGATCCCCACACGTGAGATACTGTCTCTGGAGAGGGAATAAACCTCATAAATCACATACACACTGTCCCTAGAGCTGAGCGTTCTTCCAGGAAACAATGAATTGTAAAATACCACCTACCACTTGAGAAAATTACTAGTTGGGTAGAGTTTGATCTTGACCTTTCCTCCGAAAAAGCAGGGGCTAAGGTTCCATAGTTAAGATTAACTGATTCACTCTTTTTTCTTAAACTCTTAATCTGTTTCATATTCACCAGAAAAATGACTATTACAGTATTGCCCAGATACAAGGCTGGTCTAGAGCCTTCACTGAAAGATCTAAGGGCTTAGACTCTAATATGAAACTAGTGCGTAAAAATACACAGTTGTTCACCTAGCTAATCGTACAATTTAAGCAAGAAAGTTGCTGAATCATGTTTTTTGGTTATCTTATGCTAGCAGAAACTGTCTTGTGATTTCAAAATTAGAGAAGTTGTTCATTCCTGTTTTAGCAATAAGAGAAGTAAGCAAAATTCTTCCTTCTTATTCAGAAATCAGCTTCATGAAAGGCACTGTTGAGAGATCACAGCAAAATTCACACGTTGCATTTAGTGCTTTAAACTCCAAGTGGCTTGTGTGGGAAATTCTGCCATCTCATGGTGACCTATCAAAACAATGAGTATAAAGAGAGCTCCTTGAAATCATTTAGCCAAACATTCACTGTCTGTACACTCTTAGGCAAGAGGCCAGAGGAGACAAAAAAAGGGGGGGGGGTTCGCCTTTCTCTGTGACTTTATAATCTGGTTGAAAAGTCAGACATAAACAAAACTTAAATAAATGCAAGATGACCCAGAAGAGATCAGAAGACAGTATATAACTAATTGTCAAGTGGATGGTACAGTGAAGTGTATTTGAAGTTTAGTATACGGAGATGTCAACATAGCCTGGAGTAATATGGACACTATAGAGAGCCTTATAAAATATTCAAAATCAGGACAGAAGTGGGATGATGTACTAAAGGTAACGGGAATTTCAAAAACAGAACTGGGGAGATGTGGCACTTGATTATGAGTTATGAGAAACCCAATCTGCTTGAAAGAGAGGTTTTGGGGTGTGTGGGGGGGATGTGGGAGAGGTGGTGGGGGTGGGGGAGTGAGGGTGGCTCAACTCCAAGCTAAGGAGTCAAGATTGTGCTCTGCAGGCTAGAATCTGTGCTTTCCAAGAACCACCTGCATGGAGAACTTGTTAAAATGCTCGTTTCTGGGCTCCGTTCCCAGCCCTGGTATTTGTACTTTTAACAAACATCCCAAGTGAATCTTACGCAGCTCTAGGCAGTCAGATGCTGTTAAAGGTTTCTGGGCAGAGGGCAATGCTGTGTGGTATTTTGTTCATGTAAATCTGGCGGGTAGGGTGACAGGGGGAAGACAGAGGTCAGGAGGAGGAGGTAGAAACCAACCTGACTAGTTAACTGACGGAATCAGAGTCAGACTAATTCTGACATGGCCACATCTTTTCACTGCCATCACAGAAACCTGAAATCCAGGAGAGGTTCCTTACACCGTCTCTCTAGACAGGTCAAAGACCTGGGCTGGAGTTCTCCCTGGCAGCCTTTAGTGGCTGGGCACAGGGGAGTCCCCTCTGAGTCTTAGTTTTCCTCCTTCCTACAAAGCAGATGACCATATCAGCGATACTTTAAATATAATTACGGATAGCACTGGTTCTCAGTCCCCCTCCCTCTTTAGAAGCATCAGGGAGGGATTGGGGAGTTGTGTGTGTTTTTTTTTTTTAAATAAAATGTGTTTTTAATAAAATACCCAGGTACCGTATTTTTAAAAGTCTTCCCAGATGACTGTGTTTGTAGCCAGGGTTGAGCATCGCTGACTGAGTGGAATGAGCTTGCTTTGGGCAAATGCCTGAGAGTGGGGTGGCCTGGGAATAAGGAAGGGGTGAATGGAGGTGTGTGTATCTTAAAAAGAGCAGCGGTTTCTGTTTTTTATTCACAGAATTCAGGTCCCCAGGGGCACAGATCTTCCAAGAAACTAAAAACTTAGATTTGTGGGGCTCCTGGATGGCTCAGTCGTTAAGTGTCTGCCTTCGGCTCAGGTCACAATCCGTGTCCTGGGATCGAGCCCTGCACTGGGCTCCCTGCTCAGTGGGAAGCCTGCTTCTCCCTCTCCCACTCCCCCTGCTTGTGTTCCCTCTCTCACTGTGTCTCTGTCAAATAAATAAATAAAATCTTAAAAAAAAAACACCTTAGATTTGTAATTGAAATCTCAATTTTCGAATGTTGGTAACTACCCTAGCCCCTCCCTCCCCACTCACAAGGAATATAATCCAAGACCCTCTGTGGATGGCTGAAACCTTATATAGACTATGCTTTTCCTATACATACACACACCTGTGATAACGTTTAATTTATAAATCCATCATAGTAAGAGATTGGCAACAATAACTAGTAATAAAATAGGACAATTATAACAATATACTGTAATAAAAGTTAGGCGAATATGCTCACTCTCTCTCAAAATATCTTATTGTCCTGTACTCACTCATCTAATGATAATGCTGAGAGATGATCAAATGCCTAGGGAACGAGGTGAAGGGGGTAGGCTTTGTGACCTGGAGCTAGGCTACAATTATCTGACAATATCTCAGAAGGAGAATCCTGTGCTTCTTAAATACAGTTGACTTCAGGTAGATGAAACCACAAAGTGAAACCACGGATGGACGGGAGCGGGGGGGGCGGCGACTACTGTAATTCAAATTTATTATAAAACCAAACAGAACTCTGTGTGGGCCAAAGAAAACTGGTCTGTGGGACATATTCAGGTCATGTGCCACCATTCTGTGACCTGTATTTTGAAGGCAGACCTGGCACAGTTGGGCTACTGGCTTTGGGCAAGTCACTCAACCTGTCTAAGCTTCAAGTTCTTCATCCGCAGCCCATTCCCGGACTCTGTATGGCTCTAGCTCCCTCACACTGTAGAGTTGTGACACCACTTGGGACAGCACGGATCCACCAGAGGGTTCTAAGCCTGGCCCCGCCACAAAAGCCGGGCAAAGGGTGACCACATAGACCTCACATCAGTTCTGCTCCTAACCAGGGAAGGTAATGTGCACCGGGGGCCTCAAGGCTGCCTTAAACAGTCACGATGTAGTGTATTAGCTTCTTGCTGCTGAAAGGAAAATTCTTAATTCAGAAGGAAGGGTACGCCCTGTAAGACTTTTAATAGCGCCATGGTGCCCCAGGATGACTCAAGGGTGCGAAGTCCCCTCGGCAGGTGCTGCCAAAGAATTCACCCCAGCGGCGGGCGGGCGGGCAATTCCCGCCTTTAGTTGCCCAACAGTTGGAATGCTGCAAAGCAGGCGCGGGAGGTACGAGGCAGGGCTCAGGGCCGCGCGCAAATTCTTCCCTCGAGCTGCCCCGCCCTCCTTCCCCGGCGGAATTTCGGCGACAGTCGGAAGGCTGGCCCTGCGGCCTCCCGCTCACCTGCAGGTTGCCCACCGACTGCTGCAGTGGGCTCAGGTAGAAGTAGGGCACGCCGCTGCCCGCGCCCGGGGGCCCGTCGCTGAGCGACAGGACGTCGGCGAAGGCCCAGCCGCGCACCGCCGGGTCCGTGGACAGGGTGGCCAGTGCGCCCCAGTCGCAGACGTGCGTCACGAAGCGGGCCACGCGCGCCGCGTCCTCGCGGGGCGGCAGCGGTGGCAGCAGCTCGGCGG